GAGGATCAGCTGTTGCAGTCTGCAGAGATGGCCAAGGAATTTTTCTAGGAAGCTCAGCTATGGTAATAGCGGGGGTAAGTGATCCGGCAACTTTGGAATCCATAGCATGCCGAGAAGCTGTCGCATTGGCGGAAGATCTTAACCAAAATCATTATATTGTGGCATCGGACTGCAAACAGGTGATAGATGACATTGCTAAAGGTTGTCAGGGAGTTTATGGAGTTATTATCAGAGAGATTAGATTAAGATCACCTCCCACATGTAAATTTACTTTTGAAAGGCGTGAGGCAAATGTTGAAGCTCATAAGCTAGCTAAACATTCACTGTCCTTATTGCCAGGGCGTCATGTGTGGTTAGGCCAGCCACATGACCAAAATTGTATCCCATATTCGGTGGACTTTGATTAATAAAAGGTCTTTCCCCTCAAAAAAAAAGTTAAAAAACTACTAGCCAGGACATTACCATGAAAGAATAGATTAGCCCCCAGCGTGATTAACGCGTTATTGGAGGCTGCCGGCCGCCGCCGCTGCTTCTTGCTCACTAGTCCTGATTAGACTAGGCGACATCGGCTTTGCGTTGGGAAATTCTTTCGTACCGCACCCCAATTCTTCGATGATCAAGCCAAATAGTCAAGGTTTAGCACTAGTGAGTATTATTTATTAATCTCTCAACCCTCATCTTATATACAGCCAATTGTACATCCTATCATCTTTGAGTCTGTGATCTACTATACTATTGATTCATATGTATGGTAACCGTGTGGGCGTCTCTGATCGGAGACCATGTAGGCGCATCAAGATGGTAGCAGATATCGATCCCATTCAGAGGCAGGTGAGATGGCACATCTAGACCAGATCAAAATCGATCGCACCCAGAATTGGCGACGGGCGACACGGCGATAGGCGGGGCAACGAGCCTACCGCTTCCGGTTAACTTCATCTGATCGACATGTTCCTCTCGCCAAAACAGGTAGCCTGCTGCCATTGGCTTGTCTTCTTGATTAACTTCGGCTCCTACAGTCCTACTCCTAATTTATAAATCCTAATTAACTTTTGACAAGAATTGTTACATTGTTTCAAAAAAAAAAAGGATGGTTACATTGTTAGAGATCAGTTCTTGCCCCTTGGTTGAAGAGCATAGTATAGCAGTTCAACTGGACAGGGCACGAGACTAGGTGAGTTAGACATTATATCATATACGTTATAAATGCTCGTTAGTTCATTTTTACTAGTGAAATAGGGCCTCACTTTTCTGTTTCGCACAGGGCCCCGGATTTTGCTGGCACGGCCCTGCTGCCAGCTGCAACACATACCTGTGGGAGATCCTCAAAAAACAAGGTGACAGCTCATATTTTGGGAGCTTATTGAGAAACAGGGCCTTGCTGTTGGCCGGTTTGATGAAGCCTCTGGTCGACTATCTGCAGTGCATGCAGCAGGTCTCGTAAGTAGGCCCTCAGCTTTGCTCACGCAACTCTAGAATTTTTGCAAAAGAAAATTGCGAACTTCCAAAACTTCAAAGGCCATCTCTGGTTGAACAAGGAAAGATACAACGGAGCCGAGCGATCTTAGATTTCAGGAGCTAAACCCTGTGAAAGTGAATTCGGGGTGCGATGAGCGAACGGAAGAAGCGCGGCGCGTTGGACGCTGGAGAAGTGGAGACCATACATACTTGCAGTTGCAGGAGTAGGGATTGCAACGGCAGCCAGGGGGGTGGCACCTGCCACGATTCGATTGTTTTGTTAAACGGTCGAAACGGCGGCCGCGGTTACCGTTTCAGCTCCAACCTCCGATTGGTTCAGAATTAGTCCATCTAACTAAGGTTGTTAAACCATCTGCCATCAAAGTCGTTGTAGTATAGTGGTAAGTATTCCCGCCTGTCACGCGGGTGACCCGGGTTCGATCCCCGGCAACGGCGTTTCTTAATTTTTTCTCATTTTTTGCACTTCGTAAATTTTTCTCGTTCGCCAAGTATTCATGAGTCCGTCAGAACTCCACCCAGATGCATAGCAAATACAGGTGACGAGAAAATACCGACCAGCATCTTCGCTTTTTTCTCATTTTTTTGCACTTCGTAAATTTTTCTCGTTCGCCAAGTATTCATGAATCCGTCAGAACTCCACCCAGATGCATAGCAAATACAGGTGATGAGAAAATACCGACCAGCATCTTCGCCAAAACCATATCGAAAAGCTGAACATGGATTCAGTTACCGCAAGAAAGCACAAACAATTCAGTTCACCTAGGCATCGGTACATGATCACAGCAAGAAAGCACAAATGCTCATTGACATGTTTATAACTGAATAACATGATGCTTATGTTCAGTCAGGGAACATGTAGATATAGAATTTGATAGGATTTTGGATGCTAAATACCATGGTTTTGGCGAAGATGCTGGTCGGTATTTTCTCGTCACCTGTATTTGCTATGCATCTGGGTGGAGTTCTGACGGATTCCTGAATACTTGGCGAACGAAAAATTTACGAAGTGCAAAGAAATGAGAAAATATATATATATATAATATATAATATATATATATTATAGCGGTATAATGCAACCTCTTTGCACACTCAGCCTGATCCTGGCTCCTAAGTGCAACTCAACTACTTCATCTTCGGACGGTTGATCCAACCTATGTTTTGGTGTTGGTCTTCTCATCTAGTCGTATAGATATTACCTCAAGCAGGTTAATAATATTGTAAGTTACCAAGATATTTTGACCAAGGGAATTAGTTCGTACCGGTCCTTGCTGTCAGTTATAACATAGTACCAAGATAATGTTCTTACTGTCCTGCATCTTGGGAGGGAGGACCAGGGAATAGTCAGTTTGGAGACATTCACCTGCTCAATTTACACCACCAAAATTCATTTCAAACTGTTGACGGAGCTCCGCATGGAAGAGATGATAAATCATCCTCCTATAGTAACTAACGTTAGAAATTTCTGGTACGGGTTGATACCAGCTTGGATCTTGTTTGTGGCCAGGCGCCCAGAAGTCTGAAATTGTGGGAGAAGTTATCACTGGATATCTTCAGGAAAGAACTAAATCACAGTAATGACTAATGAATGACCTCCTAGTACCAGCGAGTATTGAAATGTGCAGCAATAAAGCAGAGCCAGAATTCACCAATATACTCCCTCCGTTCCCAAATATAAGTCTTTCTAGAGATTCCAACAAGTGACTACATACGAAGCAAAATGAGCGAATCTACAGTCTAAAATATGTCTATATACATCTGTATGTTATAGTCCGTTTGAAATGTCTAAAAAGACTTATATTTAGGAACGGAGGGAGTACTAGTTAGAGGTGTCGCGGTGCAGCTGATCACAAGTAAAATCAAGGAACAAGATGAGCAAGAGCCATTGTCAGAAACAGAGGCGTGGATTGTGGAGAACCACAGCAACAAGATCAGAACCACACTTACTTCATAGATCTGTTTCTTTTTCAGTGAATTCCAATTTGGACAACCGATTTCTCATGAGTTGACAAATTTGCACCGCCTTTTCAAAATTTGATCACTTCCTATGCACCCTAGTCTGAACCGAAGGTTGGAAACAAGAGGCAATAGATGCTTCCTGCCAGCGTCAAACCCTCGTGTTGCTCTCTACCTAGACACCGACTCTGAGAGGGGATGCAAGCAACTAGAACCAATGAGCACCTGACCTTGTTCAGGCTAGCCAGGTCCAGCCATCAACTCGGGCTGACTACCTGACTAGGAAATGCCAAGAACAGCAAAGTGTTTCCGTGTTCGAACGAGGGATTTGCCACACCATTGCACCAAGTGAGTGTCCTTTCATATTCGCAACAAAACTGAAAAGTGGCGTAAATTGGAATTGTAGGCCCAAATGTATGCAAACTTGTGAAAAATAGGTGCTCTAAATTGGAATTATCTCTACTCTCGTTTAGCTTTAAGGTTCCATATAAAACATCGCCCCGAAATCTAAATCCTTTAAATAGCAATAACAATAAAAATAATAATGCTCATCTAGTCTTATATATTATCTCAAGCAAGATAATTTGACCAAGGGAATTAGTAGAGGTTCTTCCTGTCACGTACTCTTTCCGTCCTATAATATAAGAACGTTTTTCAAGTTAACATAGATTGAAAAACATTCTTATATTATGGGACGGAGGGACTATAAGATACTAAGATAATGTTCTTGCTGTTCTAAATCTTGGGAGAAAGGATCAGGGCATAATCAGTTTTGACATATTCCTCTGCTCAATTTACACCAGCAAAATTCACGTGAAACTGTTGATGGAGGGGAGAGTGAACAACTAAGTAGGTAAAAGAAGTAATCCACATGGAATGGATGATAAATTCATTCTCATATAGTAACTAGTGTAAGAAATTTCTGGGATACATCGATACCACCAGCTTTGAAGTTTGTGGCCTGGTGCACAAAAGTCCGAAAGTTTCAACAACCTAGATTAGTGGTTGACAATCACATAAGCAGTGTCTAATACTGAATTTAAGATTGGTGAACTTGTATGGATCATAATGATTACTGGTGAATTTGTATGGTAGGAGTATTGCTTAACCATCTTAACTATGCACATCAACTGATCAAAAGAAAATGAATTATGTCGACTAGCACAAATAGAATTCATAACTTCCGTTGCTTAAATTATGTAACCATCTTGACAGGCAAATGGCGGAGCAATGCACCCAGTTTACAAATACATATGAACATGATTGAGGGGAACATGCATATAATTGCAGGAAATAAATAGAAGGAAAAAGTGCAAAGGCAGATAGTCCCAAGCATAAATAACTTGTTCTCATATTCACATATTCGCTCCACGAGAGACTAACAAGTGACCACAGCATAACTAGTACATGAAAGCAAATAGATCGAAGTGACTACTGACTAGGTATAACCAGAATAGTAAACATTTTAAAATAACATTGCTCAAAAATGGCATGGACCAGGACATCAAAATACAAAATACCAAGCTGCATAGAAGATCTGACCCATATTTAGCATGTGAACTCTGTAATCATGGAGCTGCTTTGGGTAACCATTCCTTGTAAATGGGAATATAAGGATCACACCGGAGAGTGAAGTAACTCTCAAAACTGAAGATAACATGAAATTTCCTCTTTTCCATATCATATGACACAAGCTGTTCATCCTGTCCATTAATTTGGAAAATCAGATTGCCTTCTGAATCAACAGCGACAAAAGTACACACATCATCGCCTACTGTCTCCGACATGTCAGCTGTATGCTTCAGTGTCCACTGCCCAGTAGCATAATCCTCAAGCACCCAGACCGTGAGCTGACAATCATCATCAGAATAATTCATATGCAAAGCATACAAGCGCTCCTGAGAGTGCCCGATGAAGCCAATATCCGACGTGTCCTCAACACTGAGCGGCATACGAATCTTGTGCCATGCCTTCCCCTCTGTGTCCACTGTGATCACTGAATTATCTCGGGTAGTCAAATGCAGGGTGCCGCCGAAGAAGGTGGAAGGTGAACCATTGTAATAATCCACAGTAACGCTTCCCTCGCCCCAATCGCTCTGCCTGAACGTCCATGTTCCGGTCTCTGATGAGAAGATCTGCACTCCGGCGTCGTGACCATCCTCCACATCCTGCAAGAGCACAAACACGGCGAAGCGGGAGGGGGCAGCCGGGTCGAAACCCAGACGGATGACGTTCCTCGGGTGCAGCTCCTCAATGGCAGGCAACACGGTCCACTCCTCGGTAGCCGGGTTGCACACGACATAGTCTGCCACATCTTCGACAGCGTCGGCCTCGGCTTCGGAATCGGAGGCGACGTCGGGGTCGGCGTAGGGGTCGTAGATGGCGTCGTGTATGGATGATTCCGTCCAGCACTGGCAGAGGAGGAGGCCGCCGCAGCAGTCCACGGCCCGGACGCCTCCATCCCACACGGCGCGCAGGAAGGGGAGACCGGGGTCGACGAGGGGCCGGCCTCGCCGGGAGATGTTGAGGAAGCGTAGCTCGTGGCTGTCGTCGTCGCGGGTGTAGCAGAAGAAGCCGGACAGGGCCTGCGGCGACCTCTTGCGGAGCGCGGGGTCGGAGCAGAGGGCGCGCCACGGCCGCGACACGCACCTGAAGCGGCAGAGCGATCTGTAGGGCACCCGCGCGAGGACCTCGACGAGGAGGTCCTCGGGGAGGCTCGCTGCCTGGACCGCCGGCTGCTCCTTCTTCCTGGACCTCTTTGCCATCCCGGACGGCGGCGGCGGCGGCGGCGGACGGGGGACGGAGGCGATCAGAAACCTTGTGCGGAAGTTGGGACGTACGGTGGTTCGTAGCGGGACGTAGCGGGCTTCCCCACCGCAATCCGCTTATTGTGTGCTCCACCCCTTGTGGGCTTCTGGGCTTTTAGGCTCTGTAACAATGAGACCTTAGACCCCTCAAAAAACAAAACAATGAGGCCTTTGGGCTTAGGCTCTGTACGGTGGGACTCCTGTGCCCAACTTCTGAAAAAAAGTCCTTCAAAAAAATTCCAATTTTTTATTAAATGTATTTCTTAACAATTCTTGAAACTATCTTTTCGGAAAAGCGCGTGTGTGCTTCCTCATTTGAATGAGGTAGCTTGGAGAAAGTGCGTTTGGAGCGAACACTTTAGGATTCGTGTGCGGGATCCGACATGAATGAGTGCGTTCGCTCACAATCCGTGAAAAATTGATGCCAGATTTTTAATGGTTAGGTACTTTTAAAATCTTCTTCTTGTTTTACAAGGTGATGTATTGATCGTGTGAAAGTTGTCATTAACAAAAAATGTCAACTATCTACCAAGAACATTGGATGGCTAGGAAATGGGTCGGATTAGAGGTGGTATGGCACCTTAACCACTTTAAGATCGTCTTGCATAAAACCCAGTATGCTTCACAATCAGATCCAAGGTTCATCAGAGCATCTCCAACAAGCGCCTAACGCGTGGCGTGCAAAAATCTAGTTTGCGGCGGCGCGCGCAATGCCAGGTTTGACGCGGGGCACAATGCTGGCTCCGGCAGCCGCGCCAAAATGCAGAGGGCGCGCAGCTCCAGCGATGCGCCAAAATGCAGCGTGCGCGAGCAGCCGCGCATCCACATTTATTGCATTTTTACACAAAACAAAGACATGGCATAATTTTTAAATCATCACAAACATCATTCACAACCAAGTTTAGATGAATAGTTCAATTTATTACAACTTATCAAACAAGTAGTACTTTAAGAAATACAACAAATAGTTCAACAATACAACATCAAACGCATAAATCATGATGATCTTCGGCGGCCATTCCAAGCCCACCACTCCTCAATGAGATCCTTCTTGAGTTCATTATGCGCCGTCGGACGTCGAATGGCATGATAGGAGGCAACAAAACGAGACACCCTTTCAGCCCTCCGTCACACTCGCACGGGATGTCCCAAGAGCTCATACTGAGAGTAGTCTACATCTTGGCCACGCTCATTCTTGATGATCATGTTGTGCATGATCACACAAGCATGCATTATGTATCAAAGCATCTTCTGATCCCAAAATCTAGCCGGTCCTCTCACAATAGCAAATTGGGCCTGCAAAATCCCGAAAGCTCTCTCCACATCTTTTCTAGCCGCTGCGTGAGCATTTTGGAAATCAAGATATTTCTTACCTTCCGGTTTTTCAACGGCTTCACAAATATTTGCCACTTTGGGTAGATGCCATCCGCAAGATAGTAGTCATGGTTGTATGTACGACCATTAGCTACAAACTGCACCGGTGGCAGTTCACCATTTGCAATCTTACACATCAGTGATGACCGGTTGACAATGTTGATGTCATTCAAAGATCCAGGCATTCCAAAAAAAGTATGCCAAATCCAAGTCTCGTGATCGGCCACCGCTTCAAGGATTATAGTGGAACCCTTTTTTTGTCCGTGGAATTGTCCATGCCATGCCTTTGGACAATTCTTCCAACTCAAATGCATGCAATCTATTGAGCCTAGCATACCTGGGACCCCCGCGAGCTTTGTTCATCTCCAATAGCCTTGCGACATCTTCAGCATTCAGAGTTCTCAAGTACTCAGGGCCAAACACTTGCACAATTCCGGCTGCGAAGCGCCTGACACACATGATGGCTTGGCTCTCACCCATGGCTAAGTGGTCATCAACTAGATCAGCCGGAATACTGTATGCCAACATACGCAAAGCGGCTGTCACCTTCTGAAAGGTGCTATGCCCGAGCTCTCCGGCGACATTCCTCCTCTGCTGAAAAACCCGGTCATGGCTAGCTAGTTTCTCTACAATGCGCCTGAACAACTCGATGCTCATCCTAAACCGGGAACGAAAGTAGGACTCGGGGTATGTGGGATTATTCACAAAATAGTGCCTCATCAATCTGTTGTGGGCATCAATCCTATCCCTCCAAATTTTCTGCCGACCCATAACCGAACCACCGTGCTTCGGTTTTTATTGATGTGAATAGCTAGGATCATTGCAGGACCCTCCTCCTCTTCCATATCAAATTCTTCTTCAGAAGAGTTATAGCCCGAACTCATCTAAAATGTTCAAAACTAGGCTATAAACAACATGCACCAAATTTCATGCAAAAAAGTGGAAGTTGGAAGCAATACATACCTTGCGGGCGTTTTTGTTGAATACCTTGCGGGCGCCAAAGCGGCGGTGGGTGGCCGGGCGTTGTTCGTCGGAGGCTGCCGCGCGCGACGGCGGCGCTGACCGGAGAGAGAGAGAGAGAGAGAGAGGGAGGAAGCCGCGGCCGTGCGGGAAGAGACCGGGGAAGCGTCGGAACGGTCGCCGGAAAACATGGGGTGGCGCGGGGCGGCGCGGCTGGATGGGTTGGTGGAGTGAGAGCGAGGACTCGAGAGTCCAGCGCACGGGAGCGGGCGCAGCAAATAAACGGTGCGCGATGATGTTTCCGCCCACGCGCTGAATTACGTATGCCACACGCGCGATTTTTGCGCGTCCGCTGGACCGCCGGAAACAGTAGCGCGCGCTAAAATCACTATTTTTCCGGCACGACACATTGATAGCGCGCCTGTTGGAAATGCTCTCGTACCCATAGTTTTTCTGCCCTCCCTCTCCCACGCCCTTGGCGGCTGGTCAGATTCCTCCAGCATTGAATAGCCAGAGTTTGACGTCCCCACGCAGCCCCATCCAGCTAGTCACATGATCAAAATATAACTATTAATGTACTAAAACCCTTAATTATTTAAAATATATTTTACGTATTAGATTACGGCTCTAGTCTATTTTTTGGGGTACTTTGTTTCTGAGACAGTCTCCTTACACTCTGAAGTAGTACTATATAAATGAGCTCAAAACGAATAGTGATACCGTTCTGCTTGCCATGCCCTCTTATCATCAACAAAAGATAGTGAGTTTATTTCGTAAGTATCGACTATGCAGTTTAAAAACTACTTTATCTGCACGAGCTACTTCTAAGTCGCGTGAATTTTAGAATGGTGCAAGTAAATACTTTGATAGAAGGAAGGAGGCAGATGTGGAGCTCTGAGGCCGAGTTGGCGACCTCATGGTTCTCCCGTCATCTCAGGCGAAGGCAAGTCAAAAGCTTAACAAGTGCGGATGAGGCTTTTAGTATTTGATTCCCTCTAGACATTGCCCGAGGATTGCCCAGCTAGAGGCAGCGAGGCTTCCTGTTGTAGCTAATAAAGGAGGGGAAGGGAGACGAGCCACTACAAGAGGAGCGGCTGGCGATCAGAGGAAGCAGAGAAGAACAGCGAACCAGCTGTCCGGAAAATTGACTTAAACGTAGGAAAATCCAACCGGTTGCAACTGCAAGTTTTTAGCTGAGGTCACAACCGCAAATTTTCGAACAAGGTCGCTGCTGCAAGTTTTCAAGGGGGGTCACAACTACAAGCTCTCAAATGGGTACATGGCTGCAAGTTTTTGGGAGGATGGGTCAACTCCAATTTTTTGAATTGGGTCACAAATGCAAGTTTACAAATGGGGCTGCAAATGAAAGCTTTAAGAAGGGTTGCAATTGCCAATTTTCAAACAGGTTCGCAACTGCTAGTAACTTGGCTGTCTTTTTTTTATCTTTCTATTTTGTTTCGTAGACACCAACGCCCGCACACAACCATATTTTGGTTGGATTTTGAAATGTATATATATATATATATATATATATATATATATATATATATATATATATATATATATATATAT